ATGTAACCCAACATTCATTATCCGTTATGATAGTCAATATTCGCATGTAACCCAACATTCATTATCCGTTATGATAGTCAGTATTAGCATGTAACCCAACATTCATTATCCGTTATGATAGTCAGTATTAGCATGTAACCCAACATTCATCATCCGTTATGATAGTCAATATTAGCATGTAACCCAACATTCATTATCCGTTATGATAGTCAATATTAGCATGTAACCCAACATTCATTATCAGTTATGATAGTCAGTATTAGCATGTAACCCAACATTCATTATCAGTTATGATAGTCAATATTAGCATGTAACCCAACATTCATTATCCGTTATGATAGTCAATATTAGCATGTAACCCAACATTCATTATCCGTTATGATAGTCAGTATTAGCATGTAACCCAACATTCATTATCAGTTATGATAGTCAGTATTAGCATGTAACCCAACATTCATTATCCGTTATGATAGTCAGGCATGCTAAGCTCAGTTATACCTACCCAACAGTCTGAACAAGCCTGATTATATTATGAAGCCTATCTTTATTAATCTTGTTTATTATATGTGCAAATGATATCCACATACCATGTAACTGTATGTTTTTGACATGCGTGCATCTCCTGCACACAAAAAAAAAGTTATACAAAAATCAGTCATGCAAAATGCATAAAATATGGCTATCCTGCAAGAAAACAAAATCTCTTAAACTCATGATGAAAATAATGGTCATTTGGGACTTAAAACAATAAAATGACTCAGTTGAGCTCACTTGACTTCGCAATCAAAGGGACAAAAGTATAACACGACACTTCCCGGGCAAAACACTCCCACGGAAAAACACAGACTACGACACCCTCTCCCAGGGGGGAGACACTCGGAACCCATAGTGCACCAGATGGGCACACCCCTCCTCCATCTCCCATCATGCAACAAACACCCCCCCCAGAGCCCCCACCCCCCCACAGGAGAGGGACACACCGACAACAAGGGGGCAATATGGACCCCAGAACACACGGCAACACAGGAGAACCAAAACTTGAGACAAGCACACCAACAAACGGGCACACACTAGAACTACAATAGATGCAACGCCAAAAAGTAGCAAGAAGACACCCGGAAAAGCACCCCTACTCACTATACCTAACCCTTCTCACCTCCCCCAACACACCTCCCCACCCTAAGCCCCACACAACATTTGAAGGAAATCACACCAACTCAACACAGACGCGACAATCCCAAGGGACATACACATAGTCTCAAGACAGTTGTACCAAAGGGATTAAGAGGTCACACACTAACCCCCCACTCCCCCAAATCACCAAGCCTACCCAAATCCCCACCCCACACCGAGTAAACACTCCCAACCACAGTACAGGAGTCACACAACAACCTGTAAGCCAAGAAGAGCCTCCCCCACTTCAAAAGGGGCACAGAACAAACAGACACCCTCAACAGAGGGCAACTATACAAGCACTATCTTCCAAGACAAGACCGAGCATACCAGACTCAAAAGGCTATATACGTACCATAAGGCAATACTGTGACAAAAAGCTTTATACCCTGTTACCCTCCCCCCCACTATTCAATTCTGTATCCATTCCCACCCAATGCAAATGACAAACGGATATGAAAATGGAAAAACAATAAACAAATAATCTGTTTAAAGAGAAATGTATACAGCAGATTACCCTACCTCCCACCCCTCTTATTTCTGTACCCCACCCCGAACCCTAAACTAATATAACAGAAGCTAACAAGAACGCAGAAAATGTCTTTTTAAACCTAACACGTGTTGAAACCACTGGAAAACTCTTGGCATGTTAGCCCAAGAAGTCAGACCTCTTTACTAAACCCCTGTATATTAGGTGAAACTTGTACCATCAACTCTAATGCCCCTTTTTCTTCTTTCTGTACCCCCACCCCATAAAAACAAAAAAACTTTCAAAATAAAGAATTTATAAAAAAAAAAAACAATAAAATGACATTCAACAAATAGGTGCTAACTCCAAGGTATTGAATAAAAATTATGGAATAACAATTACTGCCGGAATTAACCATTAATGTTACAAAATGTGTATTAAGAATAGAGCATTCAATACGTACTATAAAAAAATCTTATGAACGTATAATAAAAATATTATATATCTATCTTTATTCTCATAAGAAACAACGCAATGAGAAGATATGTATGCAAAATAAATATAAGAATTGGTATAAAAATAATAAAATCCATATGCTGGCAAAAATTGCAATAAAATGTCAAACATGATAGAAAAACAAAATAATCATTAAAACACTAACATCAAGACACATATATGTAGACCAACTAAATAACTCATATTGGGACATAAAATGTAAAAAAAGGGGACTTTTCATATGCCCCAAATACAATTTTTTGCAGGGACATTCCAATAACTAAATTAGTTTTTAACATTATATTTCTCTTTACTTTGCTATTATAAAACTCTTCCCTTAAAGGCTCCCATTAGGAATATTATTTATATATTAAACATTTTATGAGAGTTGTAGTTTAGCAACATCTGGCGGGCCAGAATTTGGAGAACCCTGGTTTTACATATGGTTCCTGTGTGTTTTTTTCTAATATAGACGTCTATAAAATGCAGATTATGTTCCTTCTCCTAACCACGACCTTTACCTTAAATGGTTACTGGAAACCAAAAACAACGTTTAAAAGAAAACACTGCTTTGGGGTACAATATACCTTCCTATCCCCCCTAGTCAACGTTTTAAAAAAAAAGTTCTCCCCTTAGCCCAATCATCCTCCACTGACATTACTCCTCCTAGCTGCTGGGATGTAAAAGAAGGATGGGTTGAGGAGTGGACACTAGACGTCTGTCACAAGCTTTGGTATAAGACAGTCCAGAACTCCTATTCTGGGCGGGCTAATGACGCCCCAGTGACGCTGCCGGAGGTGGAGTTCCACCTTCAGCAGCAGAGTGGTTACTCTGAGTATGTGTACTGTTTCATAGCAAAACGCTACACTTACAGACTCCATGAACCATAACCACTTTAAATCACTGAAAAGATCATGGTGCTTAGAGTAAAATTTGTTCAACTAAGAAGTGTATGTATTCAGCAGACTGTATGTGTGTATTCAGCAGTCTGTGTGTGTGTGTGTGTGTGTGTATTTCAGCAGTGTGTGGGTGTAGTCAGCAGTCTGTATGTGTATGTATTCAGCAGTCTGTGTGAGTTTATGCATTCAGCAGTCTGTGTGTACTCAGCAGTGTGTGTGTATGTATTCAGCAGTCTGTATGTGTGTGTGTGTGTATATACTCAGCAGTGTATGTATTCAGCAGACTGTGTGTGTATTCAGCAGTGTATGTATTCAGCAGTCTGTGTGTGTGTATGTATTCAGCAGTCTGTGTGTACTCAGCAGTGTTTGTGTATGTATTCAGCAGTCTGTGTGTGTGTGTGTACTCAGCAGTGTATGTATTCAGCAGACTGTGTGTGTGTACGCAGCAGTCTGTGTGTGTGTGTATGTATTCAGCAGTCTCTGTGTACTCATCAGTGTGTGTGTGTATGTGTATTTAGCAGCCGGTGTAGGAATATGTTCAGCAGTCTGTGTGTATATATTGCATTTGTTGGAGATACTAATAAATATCCACCGAAAAAGATTTGGAAAAACAAATCAGACAAGCCAAAAAAGAGCGAAAATGGGCTTAACAGTGTATATAAATATTATGTAAATATTTGGCAGTACAACGATCGGCACATTTTTCCACCATTTTACTTGAAGAAGTAACCAACAGAGTAAAAAAGAAGAGGAACAGTGATAAATCCATATTTATATATAATTATTAAATATAATATGAGACCTGAGCCGGGGATTTACTAAAGGCAGGGCCGGACTGGGAAGATAATTCGGCCCGGGCATTTTTTAATTACAGCGGCCCACTACAAAGGGGGCGGGGCCAGATAGGGTGTGTGCTGTGCATGTCAGGGGTGCAGTGTGTGGGTGCTGTGAGTGTTAGGGGTGCAGTGTCTGTGTGTGTGTGTGTGAGGGTGCTATAAGTGTTAGGTGTGCAGTGTGTGTGTGTGAGTGAGGGTGATGTGAGTGTGTGTGTGTGTGTGTGTGCTGTGTCAGGGGTGCAGTGTGTGTGAGTGAGGGTGCTGTTCATGTCAGGGGTGCAGTGTGTGTGTGTGTGTGTGTGTGTGTGCTGTGAGTGTCAGCGGTGCAGTGTGTGTGTGCTGTGAGTCTCAGGGGTGCAGTGTGTGTGAGGGTTCTGTAAGTGTTAGGTGTGCAGTGTGTGTGTGTGAGTGAGGGTGATGTGAGTGTGTGTGTGCTGTGTGTGTGTGTGTGTGAGGTGAGGGGTGATGTGGGTGTGTGTGTGTGTGTGTGCTGTGTCAGGGGTGCAGTGTGTGTGAGTGAGGGTGCTGTTCATGTCAGGGGTGCAGTGTGTGTGTGTGTGTGTGTGTGTGCTGTGAGTGTCAGCGGTGCAGTGTGTGTGTGCTGTGAGTCTCAGGGGTGCAGTGTGTGTGTGTGTGAGGGTTCTGTAAGTGTTAGGTGTGCAGTGTGTGTGTGTGAGTGAGGGTGGTGTGAGTGTGTGTGTGTGTGTGTGCTGTGTCAGGGGTGCAGTGTGTGTGAGTGAGGGTGCTGTGCATGTCAGGGGTGCAGTGTGTGTGTGGGTGCTGTGAGTGTCAGTGGTGCAGTGTGTGTGTGCTGTGAGTGTGCTGGTGAGGTCAGCGTGTGCAGTGTGTGTGTGTGTTTGTGTGTGTGTGCTGTAAGTGTCAGGGGTGCAGTGTGTGTGTGTGTTTGTGTGTGTGGTGCTGTGGTCAGGGTGCAGTGTGTGTGTGTGTGTGCTGTGAGTGTCAGCAGTGCAGTGTGTGTGTGTGTGCTGTGGAGTGCTCGTGGGCAGTGTGTGTGTGTGCAGTGTTGTGTCTAGTGTGTGTGTGTGTGTGTGAGTGCTCAGGGGTGGTGTGTGTGTGTGTGTGTGTGAGGTCAGGGGTGCAGTGTGTGTGTGTGTGTGTGGAGTGCGTCAGGGGTGCAGTGTGTGTGTGTGTGTGTGTGTGTCAGGGGTGCAGTGTGTGTGTGTGAGTGTCAGGGGTGCAGTGTGTGTGTGTGAGTGTCAGGGGTGCAGTGTGTGTGTGTGTGTGTGAGTGTGTGTGAATGAGGGTGCTGTGAGTGTTTTGGGTGTCTGTGAGGCTGATGTTAGTTAGGTGATTATTTCCCCCCTCCCTGCTTACCTTTAGCCTGGGAGGGGGATCCTGCTGCTGGGGCTGCCATCCATCCCTGGTGGTCTTAGTGGTGAGTGAACTCTAGCCTGTGAGGCTAGAGTTCACTCTCGCGAGACCCGGAGCGTTGCCATGGCAACGCTCCGAATCTCGCGAGAGGAACCCGGCGGAGCTGTTAGTTAAAGCTCCGCTGGGTTCCTCTGCTGGCAGGCTGGCTCCCTCCCTCTTTCCCCCGGCGGCCGCACTATCCTGCATGTGGGCCGGTGAGGGAGATCTCTGATCTCCCCACCGGCCCGCTGGAGACTACTGCAGGGCCGGCGTTCAGATAGCGCCGGCCCTGCAAAGACCGTCAGGAGAGATCCTGTGATCTCTCTGCCGGCCTCGGCCCCACGGCCACCGCGGCCCACCGGGCATTTGCCCGGTGTGCCCGATGGCCAGTCCGGGCCTGTCTCCCAGTGTCCCCAGGTCTCCCAATGTCCCAATGTCTCTTCAGTCGACTTTCAGTTGCAAACAGGTACCATCATCTTAGGTATAGAATGTAGTGTCAGGAAGCAGCACCTATCGTAGTCCTCTCAAGCTCAGTGAAATAAAGGGGGAGAGAGGAGAAGACACGGAAATAGTGTAGAATGTTGAATTGCTTGATAGTGCATCCCCACTTACTTACTAGGTACCATTATGTGGCTGGTGGTCAATTCTAGTAAGCAATTCTGTGTTTTGGAGTGATAAGTGATATTTAGTAATTTAGAAAGGCTCAAAGCTGGAGCTGCTAAGGATGGCTGCATGCTAGCTTGATGGCTAGGCCCCGGCCCCCATCCATATAGTATTTTTTGTATTTGTATTCTTTACTCTCCTCCCAATGTACCATATATACATATATACGTAGCTATAGTAATACAAAACTATATATTAACATATATAAATTCCATATGTTTAACAGTTCCTTGTCCCCTTCATCTCGCCTGCCAAACAGTTCTGGTTTTTAAGGGCACATAAAATGGTAAATGTTGTTTGGTAGATGCTGAAAAGTTTGTGCATTAACTACAGTGTTGTATTATTACAGTTTTGTTTAAAAAAAACCAGTGCTGTTTGAAACAACGTCCTCTGAGGTAAGATGAGAATTAGGAAGGCTTAGAGTTAGGGCTAGGTGACTCACTCAGTGCGTCATATTGGAAGTGTCACTTACTGGCTTGCTGACCAATCCAATGCTCCTGAACATTTGGGATGAAATGCATGGCATTGATTCAATTAAATGCATCTTATATTCTCATATTGAATTCAATGCGTCACTATGAGTTTTGTTTGATTATCTTCATGAATGTTAAACATCACATGACCAAGTTAAAGTTGGCCTTTGCAGAGGAAGCTTCACTAGTGACTGGGAGACACCAATTAGAGGTGTTTTTAACCCTGTAATGTAAACTTTGCAGTTTCTACAAAACAGCAATGTGTAACATTGCAAGGTTAAAACTACACCCTGAACATTAATATATGGGGCTGAGCTTAACTGACTCGTAAGGAAGATCGCTTCCAGGGTGATTGGTCAGTCTGTGCATCAATTCACAGATGTTTTTATTTACATGGTGTAAAGTAATGATATTAGTAATGACATGGAGGTGAGTATT